TACTTTAGTCTTTTTTCTCTAAAGTATTTTGACTTCCATTTTTTTTATAAAAATTAGAAAAATGAAAAACAAAATTAATTTTTTAAATAAATAAAAATGAGAAAAAATTGAGTAATAAAGAGAAAGGTGATAGATCTTTTTTCTTCACTCGTTTTTTCATTTCCCGGCATTTTCTATTGTAGATTGTTTTCTATTATCCTCTAATCCTCTTTATTTTCTTTTTTCTCTATATAAGGATATATTTTTATCAATTCTTTTCCTGGTGATTTTTTCTTTTTTCTCTTTATTGATGTTTTCCTTATATAAATTTAGATTAAAAAAAAGTATTCTATGTAACTATTTTTTCAATAATTTTTTTATAAATATTTTATAATATTGATGTTTTTCATTTTATTATGTAGATTAATATACAAAAAATGGTATTATTCATTTTAAAAAGTTGAAGAAAAAATAATAATGAGTGTGAATCATAAAATAGTGAGATGAAAAAATGAAATAATTTATAAACACTTATGAACATAATAGTCATAATAATAATAATAATAATAGTAATAATAATAATAATAATAATAATATCGTTTTTAGAGTAATTGGCCGGGAAGTAAAAAGAGTTTGAAGAAAATAAAAATAGTTGGAAGAAATTGGAACTCGGAAGGATCGGAAAGAAACTGAAAAAAGTTGAAAGGAACTGGAAGAATTGTAAAATGTTGGAAAAAACTGAAAGAAACTGAAAGTTAAAATTTAAGCTCTTAAGATCCTCTTATGAAATATTTGCACTAAATAGCACTAAAACTTAAGTTATTTTCCTAAATAGGACTTAAAATGTTTTACTCCCTAAATAACACTTAATAATGTCCATAATATCCTGTGATGACGAATATTACTTGAATAATGACTAAAAGTGGATTTGTCATCATCGGAACCGATTTATGGCTACAGAACTAATTAAAGAATCTTATTCCAATAGTAGCTCCGACTCAAGCTTATACAAGCTTATAGTAGTAGCTAATTTAGTCTGATTCTAAAAAGTTTATCCATTTTATTATTATGAATGATAGCAAGGCTCGATAACCAAGATGTTGATCCATTTCGATTCTTCGATTCTCTGATTCAGCTTCGTGTTCTGACCTATTTGCCTCGACAACTCCCTGGGCATCCCCTATGCAAACAGGTTTAAAAGCGGTATTTTTTTACCGTATTGTGCTAATTATAGCCTTTGTCACTCTAATCTTTATGGTTTTTCTTTTGGAAAGGGTTCATAGCCGCGGGAAGCAGCACCATCTCGTCGGACTAGCCTTGGCCATTACATTGTCTCTAAAATTCTTCATTGGGGATTGTAACATGATGGTCAGGTGAATTAAGGTGGAGCGATTGATTCGGTAGCAATTCCACTGAAACCGGCGAAACACCTAACGAACCCGCGACGCCTATTTTTCCCGAGGCTGAGGTTTACCACCCATTACAGGAAGAATGGTTTACCACCAATTCAATTCCAATTCCGTCAATTCCGTATACCAAACGGACCCTAAATGTTTTATTCCCTAAGTAGGATTATTACATGACACTCTGAAACAGATGCAATTAAACGTTGTGTGTTGAATTTTTTATAATGTTTCTAGTCTTCGTTCTAGTTAGGTATTTTTCTGTATTCGGATTTACGTCTACATTCAAAAAAATCTCATTTTAAAAGAGTGATTACGTACGTACGATAAATATGGAGTATCAAATAAGTTGATCGTTTAAATATATTTATCATTTATTGATGCCAACAATATTATCTTGTTATCTAGATGTTTTAGATAGTTTGGCACGATTATTTGTTTAATAACAATTAAAAGTAAACAACTACTTTCGAACCAAAAAAAATATGAAAATGAACAACATTCGTAAAATCTCGTATGTGTATGGAGATTACCCAAATAAAACTTATATGTGCAAGTGAAACGGATCGCAGAAGTAAACACGTCAAGAAGATGTTGCAACACTGATCGCAAACGTAACAGATTGGCAAGCGAGGTGTTGTACCAAGTTCTATGTCACATGATTAAGAAATGCTAATTAAATAATACTTCCTCCGTCCTATAATGATCTTCCCAGAGCACTATTCCAACTTCACGGGAATTTATATTTATTTGTGTTTTTTCATGGCCTATATGATAAAATAAAATATTCTTGTCACCACTTGTTTTGTTGAACTTTTGATGTAGTTTTTAAATATGTATGTTTTATTTTTTATTTCTATACTAATATTTAAATAAAATAGATTGAAAAAACTTGAGATTTTTCTTCGTTTTGCGAACCGGGAAGATCATTATAGGACGGAGGGAGTATAACTTAGCTGCATGCTTAATTTGGCACAATTTTTTTTATAAAATGAAAAAAAGTGATTAAAATTTAATTGGTTAAAAGAGAAAAACCTACACAACCAATATACGGAGTAATTTTTGTAATAAGAAAAGAATTAATTTTTGAAACGCATTAAACGGAAGATAATTAAGGAACAAAATTATATTCCCTCTATCCCAAAAAAATTGGTACACTTCAGTATTCAAAAATCACAAAAACTTCTGTTTATTTTTGCGTTTTTCATTGATTATTTAATAAAATAAAATATTTTTATCACTTCTTGTTTTGTAAAACTTTTGACATAGTTAATTTTTAAATTTATGTTTTATTATTTTATTTCTATACCAATCTTTAAATAAAATAAATAGAAAAAACTCAAAACTTTATTTTAATTTGTTTAATAGGAGTATTATTGTATTACAATCTTTTTGGATATATGGATTGATGAGCATGGTCATTTCAAGTTGGGCAAGGAAAAGTAAAGATCATTCATAAGTTTTGTCCCATCGTGAATGAACCACATGCAACCTATCATGCATGCAACTCATTATCAAGTAGTACTAATTATTAACCCAAAACTTCTCAAAACTTTAAATTCAATTCATATTATATATGCACTCTATATATATATATATATATATACCTACTCAACTAATTAAGAATCTAATCTAATAAGATACCTAGCGGCGAGGTAACATATATAATGGACCTGACGGCGGCCGGCGGAGGCAGACAGGGGGCTCCGAAGGGGCATTTTGTGGTATACGTGGGAGAGGAGATGTGGAGGTGCGTGCTTCCGACCACTTACTTGAAGAATCCGTGCATGCTGAGGCTTTTGGAGGATGCGGCGGAGGAGTACGGGTTCTGCCGCCGCCGCATTGTTTTGCCTTGCGACAAACTCACCTTTCTTAGGGTGCTCCGGCCTCCCTCCTCCACATGCATGACTCTTGGTATCTACAAAAAAATTAAAAGTGGACAAATACTCCGGAGCAAAGGGAGTAATTACTAGTGATTATATTGGAGTACCACATTTAAGAATCACAATTATACATATATTCCATAGATAGGGCTTCATTATATGCCCAATTCCATTGTTGTCATATACTCCAGGTATTTCTTCATTTGTATATATATACTAGCCGTATATATTTTAAATTTAAGATCTGTTGTTTAAATTCTATGGAGTATTACTTTAATTTGTAGGGAGTAGATGTATACATGCATGTACATGTCTTATCTAGACAATAGACGTGAATTAATTTATACTTCCCTCCTATGTCCTAAAATATGATTTTTCCATGTTGATCTTTCACGCATTTTAAAGAGATCTGAGAAACACGTGAATTTACTCTTAATTATGACGGATTGACGGGTCTCATATGTTTTATCACTATATATATATATATATATATATATATATATATATATATATATATATATATATATATATATATATATATAAGCGTTGACATTGCAAAGCATTTGCTATTTAATTGGTATTGTGTCTTGATATTTCTAGGTGCTACTTATTACATTCGATCCGTTCGAAAATGATCTTCTTATTTGATTTTTTTAAATCAAAGTTTATAAACATTGACTGAAATTTATTGAAAAGTACTTTGTGTTTCGATACATAAATATACTACGAAGTATCAAATTACCAATAATCTTCTTATGAAACATGATTTTGAAATATTAGATTTACATAAAATATATCATATACTCCCTCCGTCCCATAAAGTGTTACCCATTTTGACTAAAGTTGAAATTAAGGGAGGGATAATTTTGTGTTGACTTTCAAAAAATACCCTTGATGTGATGGGTAAAAGTAGGATGTGATGTGTAGATTATTAGAAAAAAATTATGATGTGATAGGTAGGGTTTGAAAAAGTAAGGGGTAAAAGTGGTTTTTTAATAAAAATGGGTAAAGGATTGTGGGACACAATTTTTTTAAAACGTGTAAATCTTTTTGGGACGGAGGGAGTATGAATTAGATATGGATAGTCAAAGTATTAGAGCATCCACAATGTAACATCTCTCTCTAAAAGTTATAGTGCTAACAAAAAATAATTCATTTTATCAAACAAAATAATTGACACATCACCATTTTATCAATTAATTCATTTTTTTACTTAGTAGTAATACCATGAAATGTCTATACCATGTGAAAAAATTATTGGATTGGAGAAACATGTCAATTTTGTTTTATAATGGTCAATGAAAACATATATGCAAATAAAAGTTATCAGTAATTCCAAACGATAACTAAGATAGAAAAAGTACAAAGTTTGTTCAAATAAAATATAATTATATATATTGGTATAGAAATAAAAAATAAAACATACATATTTAAAAACTACATCAAAAGTTCAACAAAACAAGTGGTGACAAGAATATTTTATTTTATCATATAGGCCATGAAAAAACACAAATAAATATAAATTCTCGTGAAATTGGAATAATGCTCTGAAAAGATCATTATAGGACGGAGGGAATATATAATAGTTTAATTTTCAATATTTTTTAAATGTTTTAAAATTAAATCGAGCCGATTAATTTAATTTAGGAGGGGAGGGGACAAAATATTTTTCTTTCTTTGGCTGCCTAAAAAAGTTAAACGGCAAAATCCGGCGTTGAGTATGCAATCGCTGACCGCGGCGGAATTGTAGGGCGTACCAAATTGGCTATGTCAATTTCACGCACCCGACCCGAATTCAAAGATAGATAAAACCCAGCGCCTGCAAGATCTTATCGCCCGATTCCGTTTCCTCAGCTTTCGTTCTCCCTGTCGTCGTCGTCCTCGGGAGAAATATTATAGAAAACAAGGCTTTCTTCTGGTTTCCCATGAGCATATGTGATTAGGGGAGGCGGGATGGATAAATTGTTCGATAAGCTAAGAAAGTTGGACGCCTACCCGAAAGTCAATGAAGATTTCTACAGCCGTTCTCTCTCCGGCGGTCTCATCACACTTGTCTCCTCCATCGTCATGTTCCTACTTTTCATCTCTGAGTTCAGTATGTCTATATCCCTTGGTCCTGTTCGTCATTCAATTCACCATTGTGCCAGATTATGCGCATTTAATTTGTATGTGTATTGTGATTTTAATTTTTAGGTTACGGTTCTCGAAATCCACCATCTCCTTGTTTTCCATTTCATGCTTTTTTCATGTTTTTTGTTTACTTTGAAATGATATAATTTTTATGAGGGATTCCTTGAATTGCAGGATTGTATCTACATACTGTTACTGAGACTAGGCTTGTTGTAGACACGTCAAGAGGAGAAAAATTGCATATACATGTAAGTTCTTAACTATATGCACTTTTCAAATACCCTCATCCTAAATCATTGTATGAATCATGATGTTTTGTTCAATGGTTTGAACTGATTGTGCACTCAATATGAATTTTGATCTTTTTTTAACCAAACAAGCTCTCTTCTACCGAAATTATATCTTTTTGACCCATGCTTTTAAGTTGCAACAGTAACATTTATTCAATAACTCTGGCTCTTTCACTAAACTTAATTTTGAAGATTTACATTTCTATTTTTGTTTGGTCGAGCAGTTTGATGTGACCTTTCCAGCCATCCGGTGTTCATTACTTAGTGTAGATGCCATGGACATTAGCGGGGAGCAACACCTTGACATAGTACGTTGTGTAAATAGCACGATAGCTCTTTTGTGTAGCTATTTTCTCACATAATTTTTTATGCTTTTCATGGCTCATGTGTTCATATTTTTATTGACTTTTATGACTACCAGAGGCATGATATATTCAAGAAAAGAATCAATTCTCATGGTAACGTTATTGAAGTCAGACAAGAGGGTATTGGTGCCCCAAAGGTAATAGCTTTGATGTATCTCATATTTTCATTTTAGACAGATGTTTGCTAAACACGGCAATGTTTAAAGCTAGCATAATGTAATTTGTGAAAAAAGTGAATTTGAGATGTTTCTTGTCACTTCTTGAGCTCATTTCCATCGTATATTTACTAGTCTGTTTTGGATCAACATTAATTTGTTGTGGGTCAATAAAACTAAACTCACTTGTGTTTCATAAAATTCTACTGTGTATTATCTTAACATCCTATTTGGTTAAAGTATTTTCTCGTCTAGGACAAATGATCCAAATAATTTTCATATCACTATCAACATAGAGTTTGTGTTACTGTTTCCTCTAAACTTGAAATTTCACCTGTTCTTTCTACTGCTCATTTGGTGCCTACTATTTGATGGAATGAAGCCCATCTGTTTTACACCTATATTCTTCTCATGTTTAAGAAATCTTTTATTATTAATTGCAGGTTGAAAGGCCTTTACAAAGACATGGTGGCAGGCTGGAGCATAATGAGACATATTGTGGTTCCTGCTTTGGTGCAGAAATGGTCCTATTTTTTTTATCACAATGCTTTGATTTATTTGAAAATTTTGTATTATCACCTGTGGTAAATCAATTTCTTTTAGTTTATCCATAGGGAGGCTTATATTTAAAAGGATGATTTCTGAATGATCAGCTATTCAACAAATTGCATGTCTAAATTCTCTAACTAGTACACGAGATGTGAAATGTTCCGTATTGCACCTTCATCAAGTTGATAAATTCTCTTAGTAAATTTATTTTGATTCGATAGTGTAAACCGAAAAGAATTTAGTAAGTGCATAGTATTGACTATTGTTTCTTTTCATTGATTAGCAAGATTAACATACAACGGAACCTAATATGTCACCATGTCATATGCATTTTAATCAAACTATTACAGAATATAACTGCTTTATGTTAATCTTCTTCCAAAGTATCGAGACCCTACTCTTGTGGGATTCAATTGGGTGTTGTTGTGTTCTTCCAAAGTTTGGGAGCATATGCGTCTTTTTTATTTGCAATCACTCTTTTTCAATCTGTACCCCTTTTTTGCAGTCAGATGATGATTGTTGTAATTCATGTGAAGAAGTTCGTGAAGCATACAGAAAAAGGGGATGGGCAATCTCAAACACAGATTTAATAGATCAGGTTTCAAAGCCTTTCTATTAACTCAGCACCTATATTTTAAAAAGGGTAGCATTCTGCATAGATGATAGTACCTTACATCGTTTTTGGTGCAAAGTTTTACACATAACACCTATATTTGTAAGCAGTAATGGTAAGTTTCCACTGGTGAAGTAATGCATTTTCTTGAATGGCAAAATGAATTTATTACTCTGTATAAATCATAGTATAGAAAAACAAATGAGGCTGAACGTTTCTTGATTTAAAGAATTCATTTTGATTGGGTGCCAATAATGATGATTTGCTGTATAGACAGGAATGAAGAATTCATGCTAGAATAATTGAATTAGTTATGTCGGAGAAGAATGAGCTGGCTAATTGATCAAATGTTTTGCCCTAAATGAAATACCCTGAAGAATTTATTGTACAAGCATCATCCTTACCGTGTTCAGTTTTGGTTTTGGTCATCATTTATTAGCCCTAAACTTTTTCAAAATATTTATTATTGAGTTGTCACAGCAAGTAGTCCGCATTAGCAAGTTATTGCATTTGCATCTGAACTTATATGCCCCTTCATATATTGGCGGGTTTTTCTTCTACTCAGTTTCTTTTTGCATCTAAGATGTTCATTCAGTTATTTACTTGATAAAAACTGTAGTGTAAAAGAGAAGGTTTCATCCAAAAAGTTAAAGATGAAGAAGGTGAAGGATGCAACATCCATGGATCTCTTGAGGTTAATAAGGTTGCAGGGAATTTTCATTTTTCTCCAGGAAAAAGTTTTCATCACTCAAATATTCATTTGAGTGACTTGCTGGCTCTTCAGACAGACAGTTATAATGTAAAGTTCTGTCTCATTTCTTTGTTTGCCTTTTTATATTAGCTTTTGAACTCAAAAGGAGACCATTATTTTGACATCATCATTTTATGTTACACAGATAAGCCATACGATAAATAAGTTAGCTTTCGGACCTTCTATTCCCGGAGTTGTAAATCCACTTGATAAGTAAGTACTCTTTACAAAATCAGTTATTTTTTCATTTTTTAGTAGTTTTTTGGTCTACTTCCCTCAAGTTGATGAATGGACTTTTGCCTATACAAATATCAGTTGCCGTGCTGCAAAAGTCCATTTCCGAAAGAGGGCGAAGTGAAATTCAAATTGAGAAAGTATGATTGTAAGTGGTGAGTATGGGGATATCGTCTCCACATGGATAGCTTATTGATTAGGGAATCCAACGAAATCAATCAGGGAATGAGCAAACACCTTAACTTTGTTGGGTGTGAAGGCTTTTGGGCCTTTTGCCTGGTCTAGCAAAAGATGAGCAATTGGGTCAGGCCGGCCCTAATGGCCTTTGTGCCTGTTTATTGTTATCTTGTTGCTTAAGCTTTGCTAAACCTAATCAGTCTTATAAAAACCGTGCTATGTAATTGTGATATTTACACCTGAATGGCTGAATAAAGAGAAACCCTAGTTGCAACCCGTGGAGTAGGTCACACTGACAAAACCATGTTATATTCTCGTGCTGTTTTTTCTTTTGGTCTGTGCTTGTGCGTTTCGTGTTTTCGTTGTGTTTATCTACTCTAATTATACCCAACAATCTTTCACTTCCATGACAAAATAGAAAAGAATTTCCTTGAAGAAACCCACTTCGATGGTGCTTTTCTTTATGGATTCATAAAAACACAAATGAACTTCCTCAAGTATTACTCCACTTCCGTGGTAGGGATTGAGAGTGGAGATTAAAGCCTATGGTTTTAAAGCCCAATTCTTGAGTGATTTAAAATCCAATCCTAGATAAGCATGCCATTATGGTCAATAACAACATATAAACACATATTTAGCACAATCTCCACAAGCATACCTAGCCATAGTCTTCAAATCCACATCAACCTATAGAGGACAAGCACAATATATCAATTTATCTCCCACTAGGAAATCTAGCCTAGCATGCTTGAAGTGAAATAGAGAACAAGAACAACAACAAAAACATCCCAGTTGAATCCCACTACACTAGGGTCTGGGTAGGGTGTGTGTACGCAGACCTTGCCCCTACTCGGAAGTAGGGAGGCTGTTTCCAAGAGACCCCCGGCTCAACCTGCACAAAAATATGGAAGGGAATACAGTATAACACGGGTAAAGAGCCAAGTACAAGCAACAAGTACAAGCAATAGCAAAAGATTCCAAACAAACACAACATACTACAAACAACCTCTACAACACCGAGCTCCTATCCAGCTACTCAAATCCTAGTTCTCCAAAGGTTCCTATCTAAGGAACCTTTGGAGAGAGAGTGAAAAACATGGAAGAAGTGCAAGGAAAAGAAATCTTGACTAATAAGCAATTAATTAAAGATTAAAGTGTTGAAATACAAACATTGGAGCTCCCTACGGAGAGTACAAACATTGTATTTCAACACTTGAAACTTAGATTTATTGCTTTCAAGTGTGGAATTCACTTTTTTCACTTTCAATTTTTTCCACTTCCTTACTTCTTTTATGTTTTGTTTCATTTCAAGCATGCTAGGCTAGATCTTCTAGCCTATGTTGTATGATGGATTGTTGATTTGTGTTTCTTACCCTAGGGCTAGTTTGAACTTTGGGATTTTGATGTAGAGATGCTTGCGGAAATTGTTCTATTTCATAGTCTATATGTTATTTTATAGCCATGATGACATACTTCTACCTCAGAATGTGCTCTAAATCATTGAGTTGAGATTTAGAACTCTCTATGTGTGCCTTTGCTCCCAAGTCTTTCCACGATAGTGGAGTGTACTTGAGGAGCTGTGATTTATATTGTATGTAGTTTCCTTAAGACAAGCACCATGGAATTGAGTTTATCTCAAAGAGTTTTTTTTTACGGAATTGGAAATTATGTTGTTTTGCTTGCTTCCCGGATGATTTCTCTTCATCGCCTAAAATCCTAGGCAACTTGGCATCCCCTAGTCTAGGTTTGCATTTCATTCGTGTTTTAGTTCATTTCAATATTTGTTTCCCTTCTATTTGCTTGCCATTTGCATCATTTTAGTTTGGCCTTAATTCATATTAGTCTTAGTTGCATGTTGCACTCGATTCCAAACCAAAATGCTATCCTTGTGGGTACGAGTACGGCATCCATACCTTGCCACTACACTTTCCTTTTCCGGCACACTATACATCATTTGATAGAGGGTTTTGGTGCTTTATGACACAAAATTTCCAAAAATTACATGTATCTTAAATCATCTGGAAACCTCTTGAGAGAGGAGACCTTTTTCTTTCTGTATGTTCACATTATTGCATTTCATCCTCTTGAAACATCAGGGCTCATTGGGTGCAAGAAACACCAAATGGAATATATCAATATTTTCTTAAGGTCAGTATTCCCTGGAAAATTCCATCTTTATTGTTCATATTTCCTTGTGCATGAGGAGCCTGACTCTATGACATAGGACAATCTTCTCTGAAATGTTTGATTTTTTCAACAGCACAAGGCCATAGCCCATTTGCCCCTTTTTTGTTTCTTATTTTGCCTTGTCCTAGGCGTGAAATGCCATTCTAACAGTGCTTACTTTTTATCTCTAAGAAGAATTAATTTTTCTTATAGATCAACCACGTTAAAGGAATGCTTGTAGTCTACATATACATACATATATTATAAGACATTATTTTTTTTCTTTAGCTTTTCTGCATTGCATGGTTTAAGAAGGTGCTTTTGAGGTGCAACTTGAGGCTCGTCTCATTGTGACTTGTGAGTCGGCAAAAACAAATCCTTGAGACTTAAGCCTCAAGTGAAGTAACGGAGGTGTAAACCTCAGATGGTAGAAGTATTCTGTGAGACAAATGCATCATCTTTTTTATTTGAAGTTTTTTCTTGCCTTGTTATAACAAATAAAAAGTTTTAAGGGTCTATTATATTCCATTAATTATTCGCTAAATGCATTTGAAGTCTCAAAATCTATTTGCCAAAACCAATAACTATCTTCATACAGATCTGCGTATGAAGTTCGCTTATATTTTGCACAACCGACCAACTACTTTAAACTATTGCTGGCATACTTCTCTTGAGTTAATTTACTGTTATCAGTAAATTCTATAAATGACATCATAATACACGTTATTGCCATTTTTTTCATCTAAGATCATTATCTATTACTTATTTCAAAATATTTTCAAGATTAAATGTTCAATAACCTCTATTTGGATGCGGCTTGTCTATATTCCATTTATTCAAAAAATTCAGCTTTATTATCTAATGAAAAATGAATCTGAAAATTTTCCATTTCTGGATGGATCAACAGGTAGTTCCTACAATTTACACACATATCAGAGGCCACAAGATCCATTCAAATCAGGTACCTTTCATGCTCTTAAGATTGTAATGGCTTTAGCAGTCTCTCTGTTTACTCTTCCCATCATAAGCATGCCTTGCTGTCTTGCAGTTCTCAGTGACGGAACACTATAAGAGTTTAGAATTTGGTCAATTTAACGCACATCCTGGAGTTTACTTCTTCTATGATCTTTCTCCCATAAAGGTGGAACCTTCTCTCCTGTAAATTTACACAATCCACTATAAATTTTTTTACTCTGTTAATCCGTTATTCCAGACGTAAATGTATTGAATGTGCCTTAAAATAACCGCTACAGGTGACGTTCACGGAGGAGCATGTTTCATTCCTTCATTTCCTCACAAGTATCTGCGCGATAATTGGCGGTAAAATTCTTAGTGCAGTTTCTATTGAAAATTCTTTACCTTTTACCGAGTGTTTTAAACTCCATTTAGAATCCAGAAGGATTTGTATATGAAAAAAATCTTGAGGAACCCTAAGTTACACCCCACTTTTGACCCCAATGCCTTCACAAACATTGCAGACAGAGAACAATTTTCTTCTAGCATGACTCTTTATATATCCTCCTTGTGTGGAGTATTAAACATGTTTTGAAGACTTCTCATGTGAAATACTCCCTCCAGCCCCAAAGTTATTTTCAATTCTTTTTATTTAAGTATTTTTTTGTGTAAAATTTTAAAATAAAATTTCTATTTTTAAAAAATATATTAAAATTTAAAATTATAGTAGAAAAGAAGATATATTTTTACGGGTGAATTGAATATGTAAAGTTGAATAATTTACTGTTGGTTTCTCTTGCTTTTAGGCATATTCACTATTGCAGGGCTGGTTGATTCATTCATTTACCACGGTCAAAGAGCACTAAAGAAGAAAATGGAACTCGGAAAATTCACATGAGACCTCTTTTCTGTATTGCAGGAAATTCATTTTGACAGTAAAAACTGACATCCGCCAGATTGTTCTCCTACTGTAATTTTATTTTTTTTACCTCTTGAATCTGTTTAAATTCGAGTTAATAGTCATTTTCGTCCCTCTAAGTTTACTCAAAACTCAATCTTGTCTCGGTAAGTTCATTTGAGTCAGATTAGTTCCTATATTTAGAAAATGTGAATCAAGTTAGTCCTTTGAACATAATCTATCTTCTAAAATTTTTAGTTATCATGTAGATGCAAAAGCAATGACCTTGTGTATTAGTTTTTGTAATAAACGTGTTAACTTATAATTTTAGAATATAAATTTTGTATAAATGACTAAATTGATTCACATTTCTTAGTTACAAGAATTAATTTGACTAAATCAAACTTATAGGGATCAAATTAAGTCGTGAGTGCACTTATAGAGACTAAAACGGCATTAACTGGTTGAAATTCCATGGAACAGTTCCTTGGCCATTATCCATCATCTCTCGGTCTCACACCCTTTTGTCATCATGAAAATTACTTTTATATTGAAAGTTACTAACTCATATATTGTTACTGAGTATTATAAAAAATTTAAAAAAATCCTTTTGTTCCCTTTGTCATAATTTAAATCGTCTATTTTGTCTTACTATGTTTGATTGAAGTTATTTTTAATACATTTAAAAATTACTCCGTAGCATTTAGAGGTTTTGCAAGGCAAAGGTTGCACATGTGACTTAGGTGACCCTAAAACTCATTTTGCTTGCAATAAATAATAATTTTTCTATCTTTAGTTTTAGTTTTTTTTTATACTTATAATAGAGATGAAAATAATGAGTTTGAACATGGATATTAGAGCAATTACAATGAGGAGGAATCTCGCCCCACCCCATTAAACCCCAAAATACTTGTTAAAATTGCATAAAATCACAGGATTCAAACACGAATCTGACCGAATTGATCCCTTAAGGTAAGCTTTTTTCAAAATGGGTGGGGAGTATAATGTAACAAAAATATCGATGTATAACATTATTTTTTCACTTATTATTCCTGTTTAGTGTTAAGCGTGTCTTTTCAAATAAAATTTTGATGATATTATATTGTTATCTTATTTTTTTTCAAATGCTATTCATTTTAAAAATGTTATACTTCATATTATTTACGAGTACAATATTATTGCACTCATTCTGTTTGGATTTAATCTTTTAATTTTGAATTTTCTTCATTTATGTGGTGAATTTGTCCAAAATACTCTTACTTAAAAATTGAAAGTTCGTGGGTTGTAGGAAATTTTTAATGAAAGAGAGGATATTTTTGGTCAAATACACACGTATGTGAGATATGAGAATATTAAATTCGGACATAAGAAGAAGAAACAAGAATTTTAAATCTGGACAGAAGGAGTGTATATGAAAAAGTTACTAGTAATTGAAATTGAAAAAACACTTATTATAATACCTTTAATAAATACATTTTGGTATTTTTATTAATTTTTTATGGGAGTACAACCATAAATTTAAATGTTCTAAAAATAAGTGTTCATAATCTATTGGGTCGAATCAAATTCCATGATATTGAATTATGAAGATGCATATATCAATTTCTATTCCAATGTTCATAATGCAAAAACGTATACACTGGTTGTCAAAGTTGACTTGTTGTTGCATCCATTTGTGCCAAATTGCCATTTTTCCCAACATAGTAGTCCATCGGTTTCAGTTTAGTTGTCTTAATTTAATTTTTAAGCTAATTTTGACTATATATTACGAAAAAAGTATAAAGTTTATTTTAATATAAATTTTGAATAATAGAGTTTGCCTTAAAGTGTAGTTTTGATATTTTAACATTTTGTAGACTCTATTTAATATTATATTTTATTCCTAGTCAAAGTTAATTTAAAAGTCAAAGAAATGTACTGAGATTTGAGAAGAAGGAATTCGAAGGAGTGGCATCTGCTCAGCTTAAATAATTAAATGTGATCCAAATATCCAATAGCAAATTCCAATTACATATTAATTTCATCGAGTTTGATTTTTTCAAAAAAATTAAGCAAACTCTAATCATTTATTATTCTCAATTTGTATCACATATTAATACAATAAAATAAAAAAATCTTAAAGTTTTTAGAAAGATAAATATACCGAAATCATTTTAATACGGTTTTTATATAATTGAAATACAATATTTGTCAAGTTTCACCCAAAAATAAAAAACCGAACGAATACAATGAGACAATATTATAAAAAAAAATCTTATTTCTCAATTTGGACTAGATCAAGTTTCTGATTATTTCCGACCGGCTTTATTCCAACCGGTCCGGTCTATTTGATCCAGCACGCGGTTTCCAGTGCAATGATGAAAGCATAGAGATATATTTGGATGTATAGGAGAAGACAAAAGAATTGCATTCCAAGAACATCACCATCTCAAACCCAATTGGGCATTTTTGGTCTCCTACAAGTTGAAAGGCACCCCATCTTAATTGGTAGTATCTTTTTTAATTGATTTTTACTCTCTACTTTTTCTTAAATTTTAAATTTTAAATGTTAAATAAATTTAAAAATTTTAATTTTGACTTTGTTATTTTTTTTTCATTTTAAGTTTACTGTTTTATATTTTGATTTTTTTTGTTTTAAATAATAAATTTTATTTTTTTATTTTTGTTTTTAACTTTTGATTTTAAATAAGATTTGAATTTAATTTTTAGTTTTAAATTTTAAATTTTAAATTTTAAAACTTAAATTTTAATTTTTTAATTTCAATTTTAAATTTTAGATTTTTTAGTTTTACTTCTAAATTTTAAATTTTAAATGGTTTAATATTATATTTTAAATTTAATATTTAAATTTTGATTTGAAAGTTTATATTTTAAATTAAAATTTGAAATTTGAAATTTGTCATTCTCATAGAGCACACCAAAATCAATAAGACCCATTTCGCTATTATGACCTGGAAAGGATTCACGTGATTTCATTTAAACCCGTAAAATTCAAATTGTTTTCCTATGTTATAGAATTTAAAGTGTGGAATTGGTAAGTTTGGGATTTTATTTTTTTTTAATTTTAATAAAAGAAAATTTCTTTCTAACAAACAATGAATAATATGTGGAAAGTAATTTTTCTTTAGAAAATATTTTTAAGGAAAATATTCCCGAACACACCCATAAGTATACTTTGTCATGAAATAAAATTGTAAGCTACAATTACAGGGCATGAGTAACTTTTATTTTTTATGTATGTTCATTGGCTATTTAATTAATAATATAACATGATCAAGTTTATTATTATTTTGTATATTTTTTTATGTGTTTTTTAAATATATAGATTCTACTTTTGATTTTAGTATTATAACTTTTCAAATGAAATGAATACAGAGTTTACCTTTATATCAGAAATCTCTCATGGTTTTATTTTGGGACAGGGTAGTATATTATAAAAATTAAATATTTTAAATTGTATATATTATGGAATAATTGAGTACTGTATATTTTATGTTCCTCCATTTGAAAAAATAGTTTCACCTTTATTTTCTGTGCATCTCACAAAATATTTTTACTCCACATAATAAACTTGACCCCTTCATTTTCAAGAATTTTAGGGAGGAGTATTAAATTCCCTCACCCCTCCGAATATACGGATCGGAGTAATAACAAATTTTTTTATTTGTCAACTTGGGGGTAAGAAAAAGAGGAACTTATTATTTGACATTGTGCATATATATATATATATATATATATATATATATATATATATATATATATATATATATATATAGGGAGTAAAGTACTCCCTCCGTCCCAAAAAGGATTGGGACGGTTTGACTTTTTGAGAAATTAAGGGAGAGCTATTTTGGTATTGACTTTCCAAAAATATCCTTGATGTGATGTGTAAAAATAGGATGTGATGGGTAGATTATTAGGAAAAAAATGTATGATGTGATAGGTAGGGTATGAAAAAATAAGGGGTAAAAGTGATTTTTTTTAATAGAAATGTAATAGATTTTATGGGACGCAATTTTTTCTAAACGTAACAAACTTTTTGGGACGGAGGGAGTACTTTTTTTTCTTTTGTTAGGGAGAGTAAAGTAATCCTAATAACTCACCACCTTCTTTACTCTATTTTCTTCCACTCTTTGACAAAATCAAACAATATTGGGATATTAATATATTATTGTAGGTTGGTTGCAAAAAATAGTCAGAAGACTTTGACTTAAATACATTGAACCATTTTAAACCACGAACAATGCTCATTATTTTCCTAAATTTATTTATTGATTGGCGTATGTAATACTCTCTCCATTCTAAAAAAAAAGTTTTAATTTTGACCCAGTGTAAAAAAAAGTATTAAATTGTAGTTGACTTCCAATTTTGTCCTTGATGTGATGAGTAAAAAATACGACGTGATGGATAGATTATTAGAAAAAAAGTATAACGTGATAGGTAAGATATAAAAAAGTAAGGATAAAAGTAATATTTTAAGTACAGTGGCGTGGTCAAAATTTGAATAGGTTGACAAAGAAAAATCCAATAGATTTTTTTAGAGTATTATGTTAAGTATTCAACTCAATAAAAAAATTAAAAATATTTTAAAAAAGAATATTTCGATCCCCTGTAATTAGATTAGAAATATTTATACTAAATAATATTAAAACTTAAGTCATTTATCTAAATAGCACTTAAAATATTTTATTCCCTAAATAGCACTTAATAACGTACATTATGTTCAGTGATGACAAACATTTACTTAAATCATGACTAAGAAATATTTGCACTAAATAACACTAAAACATAAGTCATTTCTCTAAATAGTACCAAAATTGTTTTATACCCTAAATAATACTCCCTCCCTCCACAAATAAACTTTACATTGCGCGTTACGATGTTTGACTGAAGTTATTTTCAAATCATTTTATATGAAAAATGGTATAGAATTAAAAAATAAAAATTACATATTAAAAAACTATATCCAAAGATCTACAAAACTAGAGGTGACATGACTATATTATTTTATCAAATGGTTGACGAAAATAGGCCAACAAAATGAATAAAGTTTGACCCTGTGAATAGTGAACGTAAAGTTTATTTGTGGACGGAGGAAGTACTTAATAATGTCCAGTGGCAAATATTTACTTGAGTAATGACTAATTCATAATGACTAAAAGTGCTACATTGGGAAGAAAAACACATATGATGTTATTTAGAGAAAGTCATTATGTTTTAGTGATATTTAAGTAATTTTTCTAATGACTAATTGATAATGACTAAAAATATTAGATTGGGAAAAAACACATAATGATATTTAGAGAAAGTCTATGTTTTAGTGCTTAAATTCCCCATTAGATTAACGTAGTGAATTTTTTGGGACTCTTTCCACCTATCACGTCATATTGATCATTGCCGTGTGTGAGTTATAGCGATGTGTATATATACCATCCTCTCAATACACTTAATATCTCATCATCATTCCTTTACTAGTAAAAATAAAAAACTCAAAACTATAGTGTACTTATTATTAAAGCCAACTAATTAAGAACTATAGATTATAATAAAATGAAGGGCTTTCTTTACAACACGGCGGTTTTGGTCTGTTTCTTGGTGCTGGCCACCGGGGCACTTGGCCAAGGCACGACCGTCGGGTTCTACCGCTCCACGTGCCCGACGGCAGAGTCGGTAGTGAGAGCGACGGTGGCGTCGCATTACCGGTCTGACCCCACGGTTGCCCCCGGGTTGCTGAGAATGATCTTCCACGACTGCTTCGTCCACGGTTGTGATGCCTCGGTTCTCATCAGTGGCCCCAACTCTGAGAGAACCGCGGGGCCCAACCTGCGGCTCAGAGGGTTCGAGGTCATCGACGATGCCAAAACGCAGCTCGAAGCTGCTTGCCCTGGCGTCGTTTCTTGTGCTGACATTCTCGCACTTGCGGCACGTGACTCTGCTGTGCTGGTATGTACTCCCACCATTCACATTGTTGTCTATGTTGCACAGATTCTTCAAATAGGTGTCGCTTCCCGTCCCCAAAACATCCCCGTTCGGGTACTTGGGGGCATCCGATCCCCACACCCCAAATCCTTTAGAAATTATGGAAAAAATTGACGTTTCACACTTCAGACCACGTCCCTGTATAAGTCTCTGTCCCCATCTCGGTGCAACTTAGACTGCTGTATTACCATCATTTACAGTGTCAAACTCCTATTCGAAAAATAAAATCAATGACACTCTTTTTCAAATATTATGTGACATGTTTTAAAATTCGTTTATCAATATTTATGCACATAGATAAGAACATGCATATTAGGCATGTATAGATATATGGTTAAGACTTTAAAGTGCACTTGTATAGTTATATGTATATATGTGGTGCATGCATGCAGACCGGCGGGCTAGGTTGGGAGGTGCCGACGGGACGGCGGGACGGGAGGGTGTCGCTGGCGGCGGATACGGCGAACCTGCCGGGATTTACAGACTCCGTTGACGTCCAGAAGCAAAAGTTTGCTGACAAAGGCCTCAATACTCAAGATCTCGTTTCGCTCGTGGGTACGTACCTAGGAAAAGTCATTATATTTCAATGCTATTTAAGCAGATTTCCATTTAGCGAAATTCCTACTTAATTAATTTTACCATCCACAATTATTTCTAATTAATTCAACAAAATTTAAAAAAAAAACAAATTCAACGAAATTTTAAATGTCGAACGCGTACTTTGTCTTTTCTAACACTATCGAACGCGTACAAATTGAAATGTCAACGTCCGAATGAATCAATTAAATTAGTTTAACTTGCCTTTAACAAAAATATATATTGAAAAATAAAAACTAAATTATCAAAATTAATTTTTAAAAGTAGAAATCACCGATTAATTTGTACCCACAAATCCACAATCATTTAATTAGGATTCAAAAGATTTTGTTTGAGGAAATAAGAATGGTACTACAGTGTCATAATATAATATTTTACCAGTTCTTGTAAAAAAAATTATGGTACATTATTAACAATTTAGTTTTAAAACGAAATAAATTAAAAATAATTTTAATAAAATAACGTAAATATAGTAATCTGATTACCCAAATATTTACAGGGGCACACACGATTGGAACAGCAGCTTGTCAGTTTTTCAGCTACAGACTATTCAACGCCACCGCAGATCCTCCGGTAGACCCATCTTTCCTCCCTACACTTCAGGCTCTCTGTCCCCAAGGCGGCGATGGAAACCGACGCGTCCCCCTCGACGACGGCAGCGTCGGCGCGTTCGACAACTCCTACTTCGCCAACCTCCAAAAGGGCCGCGGCGTCCTCGAGTCCGACCAAAGATTGTGGGCCGACAGCTCCACCAAAACTTTCGTGCAGCGCTTCTTGGGCCTCAGAGGGTTTCTTGGGCTTAGGTTCAACTATGAGTTCGGGCGGTCCATGGTGAAGATGAGTAACATTGAGGTTAAAACTGGGAGTGACGGTGAAATTCGCAAAGTCTGCTCAGCTATTAATTAATTACAGTCCTCACAGTAGCTTATTATGATATGATTATTTACCTTTATCTTCTCTCCTTTTTTTTTTGTCATCTTCATTCTCATTAGTGCAAGCTGCTAATGTAATGGCTTTAATTTTCAGAAATCAAATAAAATCTTTTTATTCTTGAATGTTATTGTCCATATTTGGAAACAGTGTTAGAAATTAGCATTAGCGTTTTAGATAAAATTTTAACGGTGCAGATTACTTTGAAAAAACTAACGTTAAACGCTATCCGTAGATAACATTTTCAAAACGCTAACGCTAATCTTTAACGCTATTCTGCCGTAAATGTCGGTAAGAAAATGGAATGAAAATTAACTTGACACTAACATAATTGGGGGATTTAACTTCTAAGTACATTGAAATCACATCACAGAAGGATTTAAGTTAAAGCCTTTCATTGTACATAAAGAGACTAGTTTTTACCCCGTGCTTCGCACGGGCTCGCATATTTCTCTATAAAATATATCTATATGTTAACATAGATATTATAAGTTAACATTTTGGATGTTTGTTAAAAGTTCAATTCATATATGAACATAATATGAATTAAAATTTAATTTTATTTATTTTAATGTTTTAATAATAATATGATATGCATTAATAAAATAAAAAATGTAATAAGATAAATTTTTTGAAACAAATCGTTTAATTAATAAATATGCATATGTGATTAAATTTATATAATCATTTTTTAAAAAATAATAAACTAAAATAAGTTGTGGATAGTATAAAAATTATGTATATATATATAATGGAGTATATTTTACAATGATGAAATATATATTTATAGAATTATTAAAAAATGAAAAAGTTTTATGCAAATGTATTCAAAGATCTTTTTAAAAAATCAAAATGGACCAATAAATTAAAATGCATAAATTCACATCATTAGTGAGTGCACATGTGGATGCACATGTGGCATGCCACATGTCAACACTACAACAATTTGAACTCTCTTTTACATACATACATACATACATACATATATATATATATATATATATATATATATATATATATATATATATATATATATATATATATATATATATATATATATATATAGGATTACAATCCCAGAGCTCCAAGAGGGGTTTTCCCTTGCCCCGCCTCGAGGAAGAAGACGAGCATAGCCACCATCGCAATCCTGGCGTGCTTTATCTCCGCCACCTTCAACCGCTCCAGCTTATCGAAGTCCGTGACGTATTCCCCGTTCTGAATGGACCCCGCGAAGCAGAGCGGGTCGAAGAATTTCCCCCCCGGGTACCCTTGCTCGCCGGTGGCATTGGCAAAGTTCCGGGCGGTCTTCGACCACGGGGTGGCCCACTCCACGGCCTGGGAGTCCGGGTTGTAGAAGTCCACCCACCGCTTGCTCTCCACCCACCCCATGAGGAGGAGCTGCGTCCCCAGGAGGCTGCCGAAGGAAAAGGGCGCCAAGGCTCCGGGGTCCGCCCCGGCCTCGAACCACGGGACGCCGCTCCATGCCTGGCCTACCAAGATGCCCACCACTGCCGCCATTGCCCACCTGCCGTGGATCAGCTCCGCTTCCCTGTACCATTTCAGGGATGCCGGGTCTTTTCCGAGACCCAGCGGGTCGAACCCGTAATCCCCTGCCAGCCTGAACATTTCAAGAATGGACCATGTTTTAGTCATATCAACTTTGTGTCTTTGACAACAAAATTTGACACTACTTATTTCACATATACTCATTACTTGGATTGTTCATATTATCATTCTTTGTATGTGTCATAATTTGGATTTCATGTCTGGTTTGAGTGATCATTTTCAATTATGGCTGAGCAGTGAAATACATTTCAGCATTCAATGCATTCTTATGAATCATTCATTCAGAAAAATGGAATCTACTAAGATATTTCCCCAAAATATTAAGAACCCTAAATTAACCCGAACAGTATTCAATTCAATTACGCAGAACAAAAGAAACTGACGATTCTCCAATTGGTAAAGTTCGCATCATCCAAATGCGATTTCATGATTCTATAATCGTATATCTCAGTAATTCCATTCCTAATCGAATAGTAAAAGGTTCGACTGAGGAAACTTACGATCCGTCGAGCCATTCCGGGTCAACAAGGTTGCCGCCGCCTCTAACGGCGGGGATCCATGATTTCTTCTGAGGAGCGGCGGTGGCCGCTGCCACAACGAGCAGCCTCCTGCGGGAAGCGGAAGCACAGCGGGATCTGGCGGCGGGAGGAGCGGTCCAGAAGGCGCGGCTGTTCTTGCCGGCGGCCAAGAGGGAGGAGGAGGAGCTCAGGCCGTGTAGAACAGCAGCGGATGTGGTGGTCGCCATTTCACTTCCACAAGAATTCCTTCTCGTCCTTCAGGAATACTGAGTATTATAAGACTAATATACACCGGGAGTAAGCTATGAAGACGATGATTTAATGGTGGGAATTGGGGTCAATTGATTGATGGAAGATAGGGAAAAATGGGAGAGAAGAAGCGATGATGTGTGTGGTTTGGATGGATATTGATAGATTTTAGACCAATTACATGAATACATCTCATATCGCCTTTAGGATATGGAGAATTTTTTTAATGACAGAAATTTCAGTTTCCATGGATAGATTTTCAAGTTAGGATTAAAAATGACACAGATTTCATAAATTTGTCATTTATGAATTTTTTTTGATCAACAAGGAGGGGAGACCCCGAGCTAGTAGCATCGTGAAGTGGTGGTAGCGTGTCGCGTAGTAGTGACCCTCATCATATCGTCAATACTCAAAGTTTTCAAATATGCAGTAGGGACCTCAAACGTTCTCCATGAAATGTCTTGAAAAGCTCCAAGGTTAGCAAGACGATCCGCAACCTTATTTTGTCCACGCAAGATGGCTCTAAAGCTGATTTTATGGAATCTGTCAGTCCAACTTTTTATCGCTATAATGGTATCGCTGATGGGTCCCCTCAAACTCGTCGATCTTGTAATCCAATTGACAACTTCTCTAGCGTCAGACTGCACCTCAAGATCCCTCACCCCTCTACCCCATGCCCGTTGGATGCCTTTCTCAATGGCTTTAGCCTCGATTTCCTCGATGTTATTTGGTCTAGTTCTGTAGGAAAAACCACCAAGCCATTCTCCTCCGCCATAAGTACAGTGAAAATCTCTTTAATCTGTCGAGAGCTATTCTGATAGAGGTGCGTTAACTCCCAAAGAAAGCTTCCTAATTAAAAGTGAAGGGTAGTTGGAGAACCCTACTCTTCGTAACCCTCAAATCTTGAAGAAATTCAAGGATTCCTTCAGAAGATATGGTTGCAACAGGGAGGAGAACAATAAGATGCAATCAATTCAGCATTCGATTGGGCGGAGCTGCGTGGGCTAAGCTCGGCGATGGCGACGAGCACTGTTCATCTTCGGCAAACACTCCAAAAGCTTTTGGGAATTGGAGCCTAATTTTAGACAAACGTCACCGTTGACTAGTCATTTACGAATTTAAATTTACACTTTTTAAATGTTTGAAATTGTCTACTACCCCTCTCCCAAAAAGATTTACACGTTTTGACTAATGTTGAAATTAATGGAGGGATAATTTTGTGTTAACTTCCAAAAATACCCTTGATGTGATGGGTAAAAGTAGAATGTGATGTGTAGATTATTAGAAAAAAAAAGATGATGTGATAGGTAGGATTTGAAAAAGTAAGGGATAAAAGTACGGAGTAGTTTTTTAATTGAAATAAGTAGGAGATTGTGGAATGTAATTTTTTTGAAAAGTGTAAATCTTTTTGGCGCGCTTGAAAAGTGTTCCTAATTCTTTCACCACTAGCACATGATTTACACTTTTCATACCTTTATTACAAATTCAGCTAGTACTCCCTCCGTCCCTAAATATTTGCCACACTTGTATTTCCGAGGCAAAATATCAAGTTTTTTCAATTCATTTTATTTACATATTGGTATAGAATTAAAAAATAAAATTTACATATCAAAAAACTACATGAAAAGTTCTTCGAAATAAGAGGTGTCAAGAATATTTTATTTTATCAAATAACCAATGAAAACGTATAAATAAACAAAAGTTCCCGCAACACCAAAAAAGCAAACGTTGCAAATATTTAGGGACGGAAGGAGAATTATTTTAGCATTCTAAAAAATTACTCCTATTTTGTGTTCAAAAGCCCCACAATTTGTGTGGCCCTAACTTCATCATCCATCACCTTTGTCTCCAACGCCTATCTCTCAATCTTTTTTTTTCTCGTTCGGAAATAGCAATGGGCTCGACCACATTTGGGCCTCTAGTGCTAGGATTTCTCGCGATTTGGGCCGCGACGGCGGATTCCGCCGGACATCAAGCTGCGGCGCCGGCGGTGGACTGCAACAGCGTCGTGCTGAACCTGGCGGACTGTCTCCCCTTCGTCACCAGCGGGAGCACGGCGGAGGAGCCGGAAGGGAGGTGCTGCTCCGGGCTGAAAACGGTGCTGAAATCCAACGCCGAGTGCCTCTGCGAGGGATTCGAGAAAAGCGCTCAGTTGGGAATGGTTCTGAATGTGAGCCGGGCTATGTCCCTCCCCGCCGCTTGCCGTCTCTCCGCTCCTTCTGCCACCGCCTGCCCCAGTTATCATTTTCTTCCCCTCCTCCCTCTCAATTCCCAATAAAATCAAAATAGGACATTTAATATTTTTTTTATACCAAATAAGATTTATAGTGATAAATATTTGGCTAAATATGAATCCAAAAACATTGTAAAATGCCCACATAAAATTGCAAGTGTTTATAGTGCTAACACCTTTATCTAAAAAAATAAAATGGGGTAAGTAAGTCAACTTAAATGAGACAAACATTAAAGTTAGTATTTATCACACTAAAACCACACAATTTGGCATTGTACATTGGCATATTAGCTAGGGTGTTTTTTGGTATTTTACATTGACACTTTTGGCATGATAAGTCATATTTATAAAATCATGTTTTAGTTGTAGTTAGATATTTATTCCTAAAACATCATTTACAAATGTCATATTTTAGTTGTAGTTAGATAGTCATGATAAGTCATATTTGCAAATGTGGTTGTAATACTCATGTTAGAGAGTATTTGAGTAGATATATGTGTCAAATGTAAAAATACAGATCAACCTAAGCCTTAGTTTGGGTTAATATGGACTATTTTTGGTTTGGGAAGAGTAATTTTCATTAGCTACTTTAGCTTTATGGGACATTAAAATAGGGTTGAATAACCATCTTTTAAGACATTGAAGCTAAGAAGTCTCAACACATGGGTTTGAGACTCCGAGGTCGTAGGTTTGTTCTTGTTGTTGTGTGCTTCGTATGTTTCGGGTCTTATGACATTTTTTCTTATCCTTGGTTTGTTTTTTTGATCTTTTTACGTGGGTTCTCTTGGAAATAACCTCTCTACTTTTCGTAAGTGTAAGGTACGCTTACACAAACATTCCCGAGACCTTTTTCTTGCGAGATTTTATTGGGTTATTGTTGTTGTTCTGTAAGCTAGAAGTCTCAACTCTCATGGATTTGACAAATTCCTTTTTTTTCTTATTAATGTGTGCAATATATATACAGTGAGCAGTGGAAGCATTTCATCTCCTGGTAAGTTCAAGCTCGATCTCTTGCCTTAGTCTTGAATGGAGATTGTAGTATTGTAGACTTATGAGATTCCAATCCAAAACCAATTAGTAACAAAAAGAGTAAATTCATATTCTTATATATCTTCCAGTAGTTTTTTTTGCTCTCCTAAAAAATCATCATAAATTTTTTGCAGCTCCATCTCCTTTGGCTTCACCGCCAGGCTCCACCGCGGCTGAGCCCCCCGGCGATGTGATAGGAGTAAACACTGTGACCAGCCCGACACCGTCGCGAGGAACCAGGGCGGCTTCGTCTTCTTCAGTACGTACTGTGCACATTGGTTCCTTCTCCACCTTTGTTATCTTGCTGCTTCATCTCATCTTATTGTTGTTGTGATGTGTTGGAAATTTTTAGATAAATTGGACATTTTCGGACATAAATTCGGTAGGGTCCACAAATTATTTAACGAAATAATTATGGACGATTAATCCCGTAAGTGATATAAGTGTTTCGACATATTACACGCCAAAAATGGTACTCGGGTGAATGAGAAATTAATTCACGAAGTCGAACACGTGGGAAGAGTAAAAGTCTTTGTCCCACACCGGATCTTGAGCCTTTCATATTCTCATATTTAAACTTAAGCACTTAATTGAGCTTATGAAATGAACAAGAAAGGACTCCTCGCGCGCCGCCGCCTCTGTCTGGCGCGTCGCATTAGGGCGCGGCCGCAGCTAGCTTTTTACGAGACCGAATCAAACACGCGTGTACGCTTCGTTAATTATGAAGTGACCAGAATTATGGCATGCATGCATGCATCCGAAGGGTTGCCGATGACTCCTTGGAAATTCCGCCAAGACTGTTCAAGTTCGTCCATATCGCCCAAGATCATCTCCTATATAAGGGGTGGTCCGTCTGCTGTAGAGAACATGAAGAAAACTCGAAGTCCAGTATTCTCTACGTCCAACTCTTTCTCCCCGTTTCCGATCAATTACTCCGGGCTTTAACTTTCCGTCGTTCTAGTTCGCCGGTGCATCGTTCTACCGCTCTAGACTTTGAACGTTGCGGTTTTATCCTGGGAGAAAATTGTTCACGTTTGCCAGTGCGAGAGGCGGGCAATGCTACCTTAAGTAAAGCTCCGGCGACCGCTGCCTACCATTCGACGCAGTTGCTTTACGTGTTCTTCCCCTTGCCCGATCGTGTTCTCGATCCAGTCCGTTCGTGTTCGAGCTTCCGAAGACTCCAATTTACTTATTTTATATTTTCGTTGTAAAATCCGAACGTTTTATAAGTTCGAATTATTTTATTTTTATTTTATTTCCGCGGTAAGATTTAACACGATGTTCTTCCTAGTTATTGCCTTCACTCCTTTGCTCACCCTGCAGCTTTTTACTCAGTATTGATCCAATGTCATCCATAGGTTGCTCCATATCCAAATGAAAACCTATTAAACGAAATGAAGTTTTAAGTTCCTTTTTGAAACCTGTTTTCTTTTTTATAATTACTCATATCTGAGTGTATATGTCTTGTTTGAATTTTTTTATTCAAATAAGATAAAGTTTGAGCTTGAATTGAACAAAAATTGTAATGTATATTAGTACACAAATGATTTTATTTGATTTATCTTGTTGAGACTTCAAAGTTTTGTTTCATTACACTTTTATATAAATATATATATATATATATATATATATATATATATATATATATATATATATACTCCCTCCGTCCTAAAACTTTTTTTCCGGTTCGCAAAACGAAAAAAAATTCCAAGTTTTTTAAATCTATTTTATTTAAATATTGGTATAGAATTAAAAAATAAAACATACATATTTAAAAACTACATCAAAAGTTCAACAAAACAAGTGGTGACAAGAATATTTTATTTTATCATATAGGCCATGAAAAAACACAAATAAATATAAATTCCCGTGAAGTTGGAATAGTGCTCTCGGAAGAAAGTTTTAGGACGGAGGGAGTATATATATATATATATATATATATATATATATATATATATATATATATATATATATATATATATATATATATATATATATATATATATATATATCTTTATATATAAAATTTGAGAGTTGGTCTTCTAGGATTGTGACATGTGGAAAGCTTATTAGACCACTTTTTTGACATGTTAGCATGCCATGTCAGCAAGTAATATTTAAAGAATTAGTTAACAAAAACACTTATTTTATGGAAATTGAATTTCGTATTTGTTAAACACAGATTTCTCAGCGTAATCGCGTTTAAAAAACTTTTATATTTTACATCATTATTGGAAAATATTAAAATTTAATAATATATTTTGATACGTAGTATTTAAACAAGGATCTCATATTAAAAAAAATCAAAACAAACAAATTTATTTCAAGAAGGGATAGATTAGTAGGACTAAAGTAAATCTTTATATATAGAATTTGAGAGTTGGGCTTCTAGGATTGTGGCATGTGGCACGCTTATTAGAAAACTTTTTGACATGTCAGCAAGTAATATTTAAAGAATTAGTTAACAAAAACACTTATTTTATGGAAATTGAGTTTCGTATTTGTTAAACACAGATTTCTCAGCACAATCGTGTTTAAAAACTTTTATATTTTATGTCACTATTGGAAAATATTAAAATTTAATAATATATTTTAATACGGAGTATTTAATCAAGGAACTCATATTTTAAAAAAATCAAAACAAACAAATTTATTCCAAGAAGGGATAGATTGGTAATATTAAAATAAATCTTTATATATAAAATTTGAGAGTTGGGCTTTAGGATTGTGACATGTGGAAAGCTTAGTAGACAACTTTTTTGACATGTTAGCATGTCATGTCAGCAAGTAATATTTAAAGAATTAGTTAACAAAAACACTTATTTTATGGAAATTGAATTTCGTATTTATTAAACACACATTTCTCAGCATAATCGTGTTTAATAAACTTTTATATTTTACATCATTATTGGAAAATATTAAAATTTAATAATATATTTTGATACGTAGTATTTAAACAACGAACTCATATTAAAAAAAATCAAAACAAAGAAATTTATTCCAAGAAGGGATAGATTAGTAGGACTAAAGAAAATCTTTATATATAAAATTCGAGAGTTGGACTTATAGGATTGTGTCATGTGGCACGCTTATTAGACAACTTTTTTGACATGTCAGCATGCCATGTCAGCAAGTAATATTTAAAGAATTAGTTACAAAAAACACTTATTTTATGGAAATTCAATTTCGTATTTGTTAAACACTGATTTCTCAGCATAATGGCGTTTAAAAAAACTTTTATATTTTACTTCATTTTTGGAAAATATTAAAATTTAATAATATATTTTGATACGTAGTATTTAAACAAGGAATTCATATTAAAAAAATCAAAACAAACAAATTTATTCCAAGAAGGGATAAATTAGTTGGACTAAAGTAAATCTTTATATATAAAATTTGAGATTTGGGCTTCTAGGATTGTAACATGTTGAACACTTATTAGACAACTTTTTTGACATGTCAGCATGTCATGTCAGCAAGTAATATTTAAAGAATTAGTTAACAAAAACACTTATTTTATGGAAATTGAGTTTCGTATTTGTTAAACACAGATTTCTCAACATAATCGTGTTTAAAAACTTTTATATTTTATTTCATTATTGGAAAATATAAAAATTTAATAATATATTTTAAGAAGGGATAGATTAGTAGTACTAAAGTAAATCTTTATATAAAAAATTTGAGAGTTGGGCTTCTAGGATTGTGACATGTGGAACGCTTATTAGAAAACTTTTTTGACATGTCAGCATGCCATGTCACCAAGTAATATTTAAAGAATTAATTAAAAAAACACTTATTTTATGGAAATTGAGTTTCATATTTGTTAAACATAGATTTCTCAGCATAATCGTGATTAAAAACTTTTATATTTTATTTCATTATTGGAAAATATTAAAATTTAATAATCTTTTCCTATAATAAAGGAGACTTCGATTTACAGCAATTCGACATTCGGCATGTCTATTTGGCAAAACTTTAACATGTCAACACCACGTAATAACTGAGTAAAATTTAAAGAATATTATATACAGAGTAAGAAATTGATGCCGATTAAATTGATGGCCTTTAAGATATTAATTGATAAAAAGGTTTAAATAATTTCCATATACATGTTTATACCACGAAGGTTAAAAGGAAAAAAAATTATATACGATCCCCAATGCAATGTTTATTACATAGCACATGGCTTATTTTTATTAAAAAGAAAACAAATGATAAAAAGTATTCATGCACACCTCAAATTTTAACATCTTTGAGGTTAACATTATTTTTCAAATACTTCTACACTATTGAAAAACCTACTAGCACCTTGAATTCACTAAAAAAATAAACGACCATAATATTGATGTAAAAAAATACTCTGATGTTTATTTGAAACCAAAAAATATATCATACCCAAACACTATTTTCTTTAAAAATAAAGGTAAATAATATAAATTTGATATTTCAAAATCTTTTTGAAAATAGAAATGTATTCTATGTATATTACAATGCAACAAAAATATGAATGGAAAAATAATGCATTTTTTTAGTATAACACATACCTTATTTATATTAAAAAAGGAAAAAACCGAATAATAATTTGACTTTTCCAAAAATTAAAAAAATAACTTAATAAATAAATGAAAAAAATTTAAAAAAACATGTGGTTGAAATTTATTTAAAAAAAGAAATGATACTCAAATTCTTTTCCTTAACAAAAAGAAAATGGTAAAATTTAAATTTTATTTTTAATTTTTTTAAATAATAATAAGAACAATGAACATATCTTTTGTATACCCTGAAGTCTTTCAGAAAATTTGGTATTAATTTTTTTTTGTGGGTGCACAATCAATCCCTCAAATATTATTCATTCCACTTTGGTTTTTTTCTATGATATTAAATATCATGCGAGAAGTATATTTTCTTTATTTTTGAAAAAATATTGCTTTAAATTTTATTTAGAATCGACAAAAAATTTTGTTCCACCCGTGCTTGGCACGGGTTCAAATACTAGTATATATGTAAAAGAAGGTTTTTTAGTTGTGGTAAAGACATGTGGCATGTGACATGGCAATTTTTTTTATCTACATGGCATAATGTCATTACTTTATTGGTCCACATGTCATTTATTACAATTTTTTAATTTAAAAAACTATTTATGATTATTGTATTTAATTACAATAAATGTGTATGTATATAAAACTCATATAATGTTTTTATATAAAAAGTTAAAATAAATAAAATTAGATTTTAATCCATATAATGTTTATATATTAGTTGAACTTTTAAAAAATATACTCCCTCCGTCCCGTTTTAAATTGCCTATTTTGATTTTTGGCCATATTTAAGAAAAAGAAAAAATAGAGTTAATTTTTTGAAATTGCCATTACTTTTTAGGAGGGGTGGCGATGAATGAGAAAATAATGTGAAGAAGAGTGACTTACT